ACGTACTAGCGCTGCCCCACTGGCGGTATTGCACGATCGTACCGCTACTGTAGGTGCAATTCATGCTGGTCTGCTGCGTCGTGATTTGAAATACAATTACACATGATAGACTCCTCGGCGCTGTAGCAGAGAAAGGCGAGCAAGAGCAGCAGACATCAAACATTTGCGCCCTCTTCAGATGCATCTACCTTCTCCACCACCACAAACGTGTCCTCGCTGATCTCGCCCGCATCGCGACCCTCTCGCAAGATGCAACGATCGCACCAGAATCGCACAGCCTTCTCAGCCGCGGCGTGGTCCACACCCAGGGCCAAACCCAGGTTGGAGAGCGTCAATGCAGTGCTAGTCCCGGCCACTTAGCCAAAGGAAAGAGAGGGAATTATTGGAGCTATCGTCAGCACGGCTACTCGAAGACTCGAAAGCGAAAAAGGATCGTTTCGACGCTCACAGCTTGCGACCCATTCGATCGTAGCAGCATACAGCACGTCGACCGCTTCGATCTCGATTCGTCTTCCATCGTCCATCTCCAAGCTGAGATCCACCGTGGCTCTGCTATTGAGCCACTGCACCTTTCGCATCGTCTTCGCCTTCTTGTACGCCGCTCCGTACGTCTCCAAGCTCTTGCCCAAAGCGCTCTCCGGCGGAAAGGTGAGCAAGCTCAGCCCAGAGGGTGGCAGGGGGATGTGCGGTACCTGACTATCGTTTCCTTGCTGAGCGCTGCCCATTGTCACCGATTGAGGTCCGCGCTCCAGATCGGGCCAGAATTGTCTGGAGTATATGAGCGGGTGCGTCACATGTGTCGTTGGCTCTACAGGTTCTGAAAAGCTCGACGTGCGAGGAGACGGATTTGGCATCAATCGCCCAAAGTGATCTCGACTTGCGACGGGCGGTAGGATGTTGGCATGAATGTTGCTGTCTGTACGTTTCGAATTCACTACGTCATCGAGCATAGTGTCGCAGCGCGAAAGCAGGACATCGCCAAAACGTCGCTTGAGGATCAAGTTCGTCTCGAGCTGTGCGAAAGCGAAGGCAAGCAAAGTCATGGTGGGCTACTCGTGCACGCACCACGCGTGCGCTCACCTGTTTCACCGTGTCGTACCCTTTGACATCCAAGAGTCCCTTTGCGGTGCT